TCTACCCTTTATTCGTAATTCATTGCGAGTGCTAACCAAGTGCTTACATAACTCAGCGTCTGATCTACCACAGGCAACCCAATGGTCACGTGATAACTCATAACTATAGCTTGTTTCTAAGGCCTAGGACAAACATCGAACTTTCCATGCACCGAACTTAATTACATCAAAGAATGCTGCCTCATTATCACCTGATATCCATTGTTTTTAATGAGTTCGGTGCATGGAAAGTTCGACGTTTGCCCTAGGCCTAAGCTACGTGTATCCACGAGTTAAAAATGACAATTATTTATTGCACCGAAATGCGACAATTTCTGCCTCATTTTTGAGTGTGCTTATTTTGTGTGTTGTATGTTGTTTTATCAACTGGTAAAGTTTCAAAAAATTGACATTTATACTAGGACTTTGACACGAACGGCCTTTTAAAATGAGGACGATTCTGCATTCGATTTACAAACTTTTCCTGGGTGAATAATTTCTATGGACTACTTCGACGCTAAGGAAGGATTGCAAGGCATTATGGGGCATGTTGGATTGCAAGGCATTATGGGGCATCCAGGGAACAAACCAAAACAAAGATGGCTGATGCTATTCTTTTGTCGGTTAAGGTTATCGATGTGTCATGCAGTTTTTGCTGTAATAATGACAGGAGATGTCAATTAAAATATGTCATCAAACCTCACGTTAGTTCCGCTTTATTTGCCCCCTGGATGCCCCATGATGGCTTATCGTTCAAGATGGTCTATGAGTAGTCCAGCATGTATAGTAAATTTTCCTTTGAAGCGGTACATATGGAAGTAAAAACAAATACATATTAATATTGTCATATTTTTTAGATATCGATGAGTGTGCTTCTAATCCTTGTCAAAATGGAGGATCATGTCAAGACCGAGTCAACTCATACAACTGTACATGTGCTGCAGGATTTACTGGGGTCAACTGTCAGACAGGTAAAAATGGTTAATTTCAAAATTAATACATTGGTACAAATATATTAATAACAAATATATCTTTCACAACTCATCTTTCACCAGATATCGATGAGTGTGCTTTTAATCCTTGTCAAAATGGAGGATCATGTCAAGACCGAGTCAACTCATACAGCTGTACATGTGCTTCAGGGTTTGCGGGAGAGAAATGCGAGCTAGCTATAGGTAAGATAAAGCTCATGCATGGCTTTTTCTAATTCTTACCTTTGTTTTAAATTCAGAGATTGTATGCCGACGCATTATATAGAAATATACTTGAAAAATCTAATCCGATCCAATGCAGAAAAATAAAACTAATGCTTTTTGAATTGCAACTCAGGTGAAACTTTTAAAGATATAGGTTTATTCATAAAGAGTAAGAAATGTTTTGTTTGAGGGTCAAAAATTGTGAAAAACTCACGATGTGGCGTGTTCTTGCCACTATCAATCGTACGATGCCATCTGAGCATAAGGTTTGTTGGGTTAGTGACAATCATCAAGCGCGTTGTGATAGGTTCAAAGGATTTCTTTCGCCCCATGTAAGGGAATCCGGAATCCGGAATCCGGAATCCGGAATCCGGAATCCGGAATCCACTAAATTTTAGGCTTTGGAATCCGGAATCCAGCACTCTGGATTCTGGAATCCAGGCCTTGGAATCCGGAGTCCAGGCCTTGGAATCCGGAATCCACCCTTTTGGAATCCGGAATCTGCTACTTTGAAATTCAAAGACTACACTCAAATGCTATCGCCTCGACTGAACGATGTAGCCCCTCTCCCACTGTGTAATATCTCCACCAAGAATATCTGTCATCAGATGCAAATTAACGATATGGAATCCGGAATCCGGAATCCGCAATACAAAAGTTTTGGAATCCGGAATCCAGAGTCTCGGAATCCAGAATCCAGCGCTTGGAATCCGGAATCCACCATAAGTCCGGATTTCCTTACATGGGGCGATTTCTTCAATTCCAAACCTCTCAGTTGAGATATAAATAGCAATGAAACAGCCGTCATGTTGGTTGATTTAGCCAAAAAGAAACTAATGAGGATGGAATGCTTTGTTATCGTCAACCTAAAGATGGCGGCTGTGACGTAACATCCAAAGAATACTGATGCAAACTGTATACAATGAAACATGTCCAAATTAATTAAAAATTGAAATTTCAAATTTTTAAAGTTAATTTAGGATAGAACATTTTTATTTGAAAAATGTACACTTTAATTGTATGCTAACAAGTCTAAACACAAGCCTTAGAGAAAACTATCTAGGACTAAACACAGGATTATCTATTAAATCTTAGAATGGCTTAAAGTTGGCAGTGAAGTGTGCATTGGATCAAAAAATGATATGTTCGGAAGGTTTATTATTCCAGTTGCCTGCCATGTCTTAAATTTCAAACTTGTTTATGTGTCTGGAGGTGGAATATCGTGGTCAACTGGAATCCCTAAAGCCTACTGGGGAACTATCAAAAACAACAACAAAGATCTTAATTTACATATTACAGATGTTAAGAACAATAGAATCAGTCCACCACCTGACTTCCCACTGAGGAGTGCATCCAATTACATGACATACCAGTTGCCAGGTGTGACCAACATGGACCCAGAACTTACATTCCCTGAGTTGTCACCTCCCCTAGCAGTGACAGCAGGCAAGGAGTTCAGGATATGGGTGGATCAAGATCTGATAAACATATATGAAAGAAACAACGAGGGACAAACGTGTGCTGATGTTTGGATTAAGAAATACTAAGTATCTTGTAAAGTCTGTTGAGATAAATCAACACCAACAAAAGCAATAAGAACACGACAAATAGAATCCAGAAAATTCCCATTATTTGCGAGCAATATTTAGCAATTATTCGCCGAAGGCAAARTAAATATCGGGGAATATTTACCGAGACTCGAGTCTTCGAGCGGGGAGGTAAATATTCTCCATATTCACTGAGCCTGAGGCTAATAATTGTTTTAGCATATACCAACTTGTGTACAGAGTAACTTAGTTAATATGGTTAATCAAATTCACCTTAAGTTCCATATAGARCCATATTAACTCTGGACGGTTGAATATTACTGACGTAAGGAGCACCGCGCGGTCGCGTTGTTGTTGTTGGTATAGTACAAACAGAGTCAAGTACGGAACGGCCGTTAAAGAAGTAACGCTCATAGGCTATTCAAACCGTTTGACCTTTGGAATGAAAACGTCTGCATTACAACAGCGAACGAAGCAATACGGGCGCAAGATAAGTAAACAAGTATAACGTTAATTTAATTCAAATAATCGAAAGGAAAAAAAACCTATAGAAATCCATCCTCATTCGGTGTCCTAGTGCCCTTGTCCAAGTCGAATAATTAATGAGCATGAGAAGTCATTTCAAAGCCTCCAATATCGGACTGTTCGCCTCGGACTGGAACTAATTGCTTGGACTTGAAATCCCGTCCAGTCCGATATTGAAGGCTTTGAAATATTATTACATATACCGCGCTAATACACATAATTCTCAACACAATATTTAAGCGTATAACTAGTATATATATTTAGTAACATTCACATTCACTTCAATTTGGTTCACAACATTGATTTTAATACATGCTGAAGTTCTTGCCAAGAGGAGCGTTCTTCACTGAATTTCCCATCTTATATTTTAACCATATATTTATTCTATCACCACTCAATTACTAATTCAATATGAAAACTAATGATACAAGACAACGTTCTTTTGTCATTTCGTTGTCACCTGAATTGAATTGTTTGCAATAATTTCTAACTGACCTGATGATGTTGTCGAGATGACAACGAAACGTCGTCTTGTATCATTAGCTTTTATATTAAATTGCCCACTTTAGAAACAAGTTGACGACGAGGAAAGAGTTTTTAGAATTATTCTAGTTAAAAAATAGAAACCATAACAAGAAAGGGTACATATATCGAAATGAGTCAGTTTCTGGAGTTCAAGATTTTGGGTTTCATACCTTTGGTGTAGCAACCTCCCAAATATCTCAAAGAAATGCATGGTTACTGGAGACGCTTGTCCCTAGTAAACATACATTTCTTTGTAATTTTTATGTTTTTGATTGCTTATAATTTAGCTGTTACTTAGCCAATCGAAGCCAATCTGCAGAAACCTCAGGTTAATATTTGGTTTTTAGGAAGCTGTTGTACCATCTGATCAATTTCATTATCCATGGGCTCCTCCTCACTAAAGGTCTCGGAGTCTGATACTTCTTCCCAAGAATCCTCAACCCACTTTCTCTTCATGATGATCACCGAAGTCTTAACAAGGTGCAAATGAATGTAGCAGGATTGCGAAGGGCTATTTATACCAGGAAAAGACTCAAACCCGACATCAACGGTGATGCAATATCTTCCACAAATCCGCCGCCCTTTTGGGCCAAAATTGTTTTCTTTGTTTTGAACGGTACTGCTGAGTCAGCTAACGCTCTGATGTCCTTAGCATGAGGTTTTAGTGCTTCTTTTTGAGAGTAAGAAAGTGGAATGCCTCCTTTCAATAGATTATGGCAGACCTCAGAGAGTACATGGACTTGTTCGGGAGTGGCTGTTGCAACTAAGTAAAGCTGACATTATTAGAAATAGAATTGAAAATCGAGCGTTTGTATAGCCATATTTATTTGGCTTTTGTAATGTAATAATTGTATGGCGCCAAGATGTTTGTAGTTCAAATATGCGTTGCAAGAAGAGAGATCAAGCAAGAAAAACTTTTGAAAACGACTGGAAATGCTCAATATAGCAAAAATGCTTAGGTAGATAGATTAGTTACTTCCACCAGACCAGGAAAGCAGGCGTGATTGAACACATGGTCTCCAGCATTCTAAGTTCCTAGAATTCATTATTAAAAGTCTTCAAGGAATAAACTAAAAAGCGTGGGCGATACAGTTCAGAAACTTCGGGAACACTATTAAAAATTGATATATAACTCTTTTCCCCATGTTATCTGTGTTTATTAAGTGTTTGTTTCCGAGTAGCGTAAATAATCTTTCGTTTGGGCAAACTTTTTATTTTGACAAATTAAAGAAGTTTCCTTTTCTGGGCTAATTCATACGCACACATCTATCTTTAGGTTTAAAAATGGAAGCCGAGACTGATAAACCGTGAAGCATACACAGGAAATCAGGCTTTTATGCCAAAATTCTCGTTGCATTGTTACCTGGTTGATTTATTCATTTAACATTTTTCCCTTAGTCACGGACAATGAGATATATAAGAGGGGAGGGGTGGGGGATTGCGTAAATATCCCCAAAAAATATCGATCAAGCACTTCCCTAGGAATAAAATAATATATGGTGCAACCTATCCTTTCAGAAAAGAAGTATCGAGGAAACACAAAATTAAATGCATGAAGGGTTTTTTAAAGAAAATATCGTGCAACATAAATGGCTGGAACATCCATCCTCCCTCAATTATCTAATTTTCAGTCCTTAGCTACAAGCAAATATTTTACTTATTTCATGGATTCTTACGTTGTTCCCACTCGTCGGCGAGCTTTGACATTGTTAACCGAATCACTAGATACCACAAAGAGGAGACCAAAGTTTTCCTTTATATGGCTAATTGATATCACATGAAATTAAGTGAAAACAGCGTGTGATGAAGAAAAACAGAATTTTCTTTAAGAATCAATAAGTATCATGGGTGGGTGAGGTAGATAACGTAATAACATCCATCAAAGAATGTCATCAGGTGGGCCTTGACTCTCAGTATGGCATTGAATACAAGTTAGTATTTGAGAAGGTGCATCTAAACTACAGATGTCATTCCAGAAGAGAAAAGTGAGTGGAACACATCAGCATATACACGTTCAACTGAATTAAGTCATTCAGACACAAAGTACAGTGGTAATCCTTGTAATCCTGATATCATCATCTACACCAGAATTTAAAAGTTTTATTTCCAATGGACTTCAATATGGCTGTCATGTGTATTTTCTATCTTATCTTGTTGCTCCTATTCGGTAAGTTCTCTGCATCTGAATCCGATTTACTACTCAAGGTGGACGGAAAGCCTAACAGGTTTTTCAACCCACTTGATAAGGCTACCAAATGATCAAATTATAATTTGGAAGCTAATTTTTGCGGAAGCATTGCGTTGAGAAACTCAAGTTTGTTATCATCAATTTTTGAGATTAAAGAAAATGTTTTTTGAGGCCAGAGAAAAAGATAAGGCTAAGTAGTCCTTTATGATTTAACTATCGTGTTATAAAAAGAACCCAACGAAAGGCCACTAGGTTATTTGATTCCAATTGATTTGATGGAAGTATTATAGAGGTTATTACTTGGCCRCGCGGAAATACGGATTTTATCTTCAAGTGTTGAAGGTGATGTCCTACAAGTGAGCCCGGGGATCGAGTAACATAGTCTCAACACGACCAGATAAAAGCCACATCTTCAAGCGGCCATGTTATTTGATCTCTGATTCGATTGAAGTGAAATAGAGGATATTACATAGACACACGCGGAAATACGGATTTTACTTCAAAGTATTGAAGTGAAATTTAGTGAGCGCGACGATCGAGTAATATAATCTCAACACAAGAAGATGAAACCCGTACTAATCCCCAAGCGGCCATCAGAGAAAATTTGATATTTCATYGATAATTTTAAATAAAAAGGGTTTATGCAATTAATACCAATTTAAAACTCTTTCTTATCATATTTCAAACAGAAGAAGTGAATGGGTGTAAAGTCATGGAGTTTAATGAACTTCATAACAAAGCTCTGGTCAATCATGTCTTCAAAACACAGAAAACCAGAGATGACTCAGATTGCGACGTAAAGTGCTATTTGGATGATCG